ACCTAGCTCGTTAGCTGTACTCCTTTGGAAAAGGAGCCCAAACTACCTGTTTTACTGGCACCATCATTCCTGTTCAACCAGCAGTAATGATATTAAGCTGCATGTGCGAGTCGTTAACCATGAGGAACCACTTAGACACTTTGCACACTTTAGTTCCCTGTGTTCCTAACTAACGCTATGAGATAGCTACTGTGCCCAGCAAGGGCGGGAGGCGGGAGTGGGGGGGGGGGGCGGGGGGCTGGGCGAGGGGGGAGGAGATCAAGACTAGAACTCAAACCAGATCCCAAGTCCGGCCTGAATTCCCCCCCTCCTTGCTCCAGGGCTCATGTTAGCCATGTTCGGGTGTTAAACAGAGGTTCCGAATGACAACAGCGCATTTGTGAATCTAGAAACGTCCCCGAGAGGCAAGAGGAAATCGTGTACCCCCTCCCCAATAAACAAAGCTGAGAGAGAAAGAATATGCTCCCGGGTTTCTGGTCTCTGAGCACAGCCACTCTGGATCTTGCGATCCCGCTCACCGCCCACGGGTTTACTTCAGAACCCTTGTTGACTATGGACGGACGTGCAGTCCATGCTGCTCACTTCTTAGGGGTTAGGGAGGGAAGGTTTACAGTGTGAGAGTCTAACCCCCTATGTTACCCCAATCTTCTCTAGGTAACGATCTCCTGAAGTAACTCTCTCTCCTCCCCCTGCTCCCCAATAAATGCCTCTGAGTCAGTCTTTGTTTTGTGCGAGCGCAGAGCAAGTACAGGCATGGACCCGACATAGCTGAGCAGAACGGGGAGCTGGGGACCCCCAGTTTCCGCCCGGAGCCCTCCACTCAGAGGGAGGGCTGCTTCTCCATGGCCCTGGCCGCCTGAGCGTCACAGCAGAAGTTACAAGTTTGGAAAACTGCCCCCAAATGGTCACGTGACACTGCAGTATTGAGTAACAATGTTGTCCATACTCTACTATCAAATATCCCAGCCTTATTGATTTTAAAACATTAGGTTTAAACATAAAACATGTTTAACTACAGTAACATATTGTCTGTTCTATACATGTTTTCAACAAAAGAAAGAAAAAAGAGAAGGAAAATAGTACTAATTGTTTAAAATCTGGTGACAGGTATATGGGTGCTCACTCCACTCTTTCCTACTTTTCTCCATATTTGAAATTTTGTGTAGTAAGAATTTTAAAGGCGTAGACTGTTTTTAAGGAGGAGGTGGTGACGCCTCTTTAGGTAAATGACAAATTATTTCCCTAAACCCAACATCAGGAGCCTGACAAACACCATAGCAATGATGGTAGCTCTCATCCTGGGAGGCCCAGGACGGTCTAGCCTTCTGATTCAGTGTGGTTAGAAATCACATTCAACATCACGTGTGGGTAACACAAATTATACTTCGTTCAAAGATTGTGCAAATCACTACATATCTCTTCCTTTCTCCGGGCTGGGTAGAAGCCGTGTTTTCTTCGGAAGCCGAGACTAAACCATGGATTCAAACACAGGTCACGGCGGGGAGGGGATTGTAAATTAGAACAGTAACTTAATCTGCGCCTCTGATCACTCTCTTCCCGACCTGACACAGCATGACTAAAACGGTCCCCGAGCAGCCGCTCCACTTGTCAGGCAGCTCCAAAAATGGAGACCGTGGCTCTGGAGCGGGGGACATGAAACTTGGACCGGGAGGGTAGCAACCAGTGTTTACAAACATAACACCAGGGCAGCAGGTGGGCCGGCCATAAATTACCCGAGACTGTACTGAAATCTCTGAAAATGCATGAAGGAGGCCTTAGAAATTTCTACCCTAGAAGATTCTCACTACCCATCACCATGGCTTCCCTACAAAACTCACTCGTTCCCAAATGGTCCCACGACCACTCTTGCTAAAATAAAATCTTGCATCGCCAAGGGCTGGGGTTAGTACAATAAGCCTCAGCAGAGCAGCCAGGCCAGGATGGTCTGCTTGACCCACACAAGAGCCTGGGAGAAGGTGCTGGCCATGCCTTCTGAGGGGATGCCCACCCCATTCCTCACTCAATGGTGCTCTGGCATTAACCTTTGGTTGGCCCAGATCAAAGGGTAGCGAGGGCATCCTGGTATCGCTCTCCCCCTTCTTTCCCATCTTGGTCCAAATTTTAGGCCGTTCCCCACAAAGAGACCAAAATGATAATGACGATACTAATAAATATAGATTATAGACCCTTTTTGCTCCTGAACTACAGATTTTAAAGCAAATGCCCAAATATTTGAAGAAAAAGCCCCCCAAAAGCTACAAATCATCCAACCTCTACCACCAGCGCGCCTTCCAGGTCCACCGCCGCTGAGGCTCACCAACCCGAAAATGACGAGCCCGCAGCGCGGCCGCCCAGGGCGCCCAGTGGTGAGGTCAGCAGCATGTCCGGCCCCGCCCATTGAGGCAAGCTCACTCCCTGACACTGAGGAACAGCCCAGGCTGCTGGAGTCTCAGCTGCATCCACAGGACGGGGCGGGGGGACCCCACTTTCATCGGTAGCACCCAGGAGACTCATTTCTCAGTGACTGACAAGCCACCCCCAAACACAATAATTCCCACGGCCAAATAAGAAGGGAGGATCTACAACTCCTCTAATCAACCTCAAGTTCAAGTCCAGGGTCAACTTAGTGTGTAGGGTTTGATGCCTATCCTCAGAGTCTGCAGACACACAAGGCCTGCTTTTTCTCAACAACATCTACTCTGCATGAGCAGAGAGAAGGCCATTAAGACCATGGACTACCCACTCTGTCTGCTCCCCAAGACAAACTATCACCAACGGGACATGTGTAGGTTGTATTTTCTCATCCAAAAAAGACAAGCCAAGCCAAGATCATGGTAAGAAAACACTAGCTGGTCAACTTAATGGAAATCACTCAAAGCCAACCAAACAAGAATATAAAGCCATACCATACAGAGCTACACAGAGGGAATCCGAACATCCCTGTAAACCCAAGAAGACCCAAGAATGACAACAACAAAAAATGAGTGGTTGCTGCAGGCACTCTCTAGATACAATCTTCATGATGTCATCCTTCCCACCAGAGCCCACCAGCCCTAAGAGTAGTTGTGACTTTGTGGTGGTTGAGTCCAGAGAGGGGGCACTGGAGGGTGGGCAGGCGGGTTATATCACAGGAATTCCAAACCATATTTCCAAGAATGGTACTGAACCAAAGGCAGAAGGCATCGCTGGGAAGACCAGACGGAGAATGGCAGAGCTGCCCTCACAAAGACAAAATGACCAACTTGCTCACCTCAATGGCCCGTTGCAATTTAAATATGTAAGATGCTCAAAGGGACCCTTTGGTCCACACAGTTCCGGAGGCTGGCTGGTGATATGGCCCAGACTGTGTACCCTGGCTCAGACATAAGAGAAGAGAAGACAGATGATGATGATGATCTCTTAGAATCACCACCACCAGAAAGAAGACTCTGAAGAGGAAGCATGAGGCGCAGTGCCCCCAAAGGATGGTACCTTGGGGCAAAGAAGCAAGATGGACAGAGGGCGAGGGCTGCCCCACTAGCTTAGGCAACGCTGGGTGGAAGGAGCTCAGAGAATAGTGGGTAGTTAATCCCTCCTGCCAGGGCTCAGCCAACATGACCTCCGAGGTATTCTGCATTCAATGTACTGAGGCAAGTGACCCACCGCCCCATCTTGGGAGGAGCCATGATGCCAACAACTATCAGGTGCAGCCAGAGAGAGCAATGGGGTGGGGGAGGATCTCATAAGAATGACTCTGTCCCTTAGAGCTACAGCAGAGGAACAGATGTTTCTGATGAACTTACACTGCAGGGCCCTATACAAAGGATCTCTGCCCCTCTATATGTCACTGTATAAACCACCTAAAATCCAAGCTGATGGGAGAGGTGAGAAAGAAGCATTTCCCACAAAAAAGAACTGGTACCTGGGAGTTTACTTGCAGTTCACCATCTCAGTTCCACCAACCGGGGCTGAGTCTGAGAGATAATAACTTTCCAGCGAGTGATGGATTGGGCGAGAGCTACCAGACCAGGCATGACCTGAGCCACCCTCTGGCGTTAGAAAAGCCCCTTTGGGGAAAGAGGGGGAAAGTCTCAGAGAGGTGAAATGACTTGCACGATGCAAATTAGTGGGGGAAGCAAGACGCAAGACCAGAGCCCAAATCTTCTGGCTTCCAGTTCAAGGCTACTGGATGCCTCTCACCAACCCAAACTAATTAAGAAAGGGCAGGGGAGGGCGGACAAGAAGGACTTCTATTCCGGTCTTTGCGGGGAGGCAGGGTCGGGCGGATGCCGCTACCTCTGTGAGGGAAAACCCCGGGTGACCCCAGGCTAGTCAGGAGTGTGTTGGGGGAGGGAGCATCCGTTACCTTTCAACACCAGAGGCTCCTTGCCTTCCCTCCTCAGGGACTCGAGGACTATGTGCAATGGCTGGGAAGGCGTCACCCGGCTCGGCTCATTGGTATTCTCGTCATAAACGATAATTTCTTTGGAAAAGATCCTCTTGAAAGAGTCCTTGCCTTCCCGACAGGAGATCAAGTCTAAGACGGTGATTTTGCCCTGCTGGAGCCTCCGCCGGCTGATCTTGTCGGCGCAGTTAATGTGGACGGCTCCCTGGATGTGGCTCTTGTTGTACTCCATGAAGGGCCTGCAGTCGATGATGACGGGGCCCTGGCTGGCCAGGTGACTCTTGCCGCAGCGGGTCATCTTCTTGGCCAGGTCGTTGGGGTAGATGATTTTGATGCTGGCTAGCGGCTTGGGGGTCCCGGCCGCAGGGCTGCCCACCCCACCGGACGGACTCAGAGAGCCTGCGTTGTCATTGTTGTTGACCATCTGGGTGGTGGGGCAGGTGCCGGAGGAGCCGATGGCAGTGGTGGCGGAGCCGGCGGCAACGGCTGGGGTCGGGGCCTGGGTGTCCTTGTCGTAGGTGGCCACAGTGCAGCAGCTGGCACTGCTGCATCCACAATTCAGGGAGCGGGCAGAGCCGCTGGATGAGGGCATATACGTCAGGTTCGCAGCCTTGAGGGACACGACGGTGGTGGCGATGACCGGAGGGTGGCCGTGACCGCCCGGGGCGGCGGGGCCCAGGTAGCTCGCGTCTAAACAAAGGTTGAGATCCTGAGGCCGGACGGGCCTGGACAGTGCCACTAGTACCCTGTCGTCTAAAGGAGACGGAGGCATGAGGAG